TTCAATCTTTAGGCATAAATCTTGTTTTCGAGGGAATAGCCAATGCTGCTACTGCCTCTCTGTGGTCTGGTGCGTAGTCGTGAAACAATCTACTATTCTTGATCAGTCAGCCCTTTTACAGGCATTATGATCCCGATGTTTATCATTATCATTCAATATCTGAATGGGTATATGATTATTGACATGATCAGAATCCTTCAACTCAGTGAATATATATGCGAACAGGATGCCCACAAAACATCGGATCACATTGAGCATAGTTTCAATCGGTTTGGTTGGGACGGCTTCTCTATGCATGTTGGAGGTGTGGCAAAGCATTATTGCGATTGATCTCTTGGCCGGCATTACAACCACACCTCCTTTGAAACAACTCGACTCTGTAAATTCCAAATTGGATATATTAGGGGTTGCACAGAGTTGGATTATAGTCCTTCTTGTGAGTCAGACCTAAAATGATAAAATATGATGCTGAACAGTGGGACACTCCTTGCATAGCCAGTTGTAAATGATGGATTCATCATATGGCGAGCATGGATTATCCTAGGCGAACAACGATGGACGACATATCTTTCGGTCGCATTGTGTATGTGTGCTTTTGGTATGTCGTTGTCATCTCTTTAAATACACTTTATAGACACAGCAACTTTCAGTCATTGCAATTTCTAGCCTTATTTTAATTTCTGTTTTGAATACAGTTGAATCATCTGACATATGGAAAGCCTCACATGGACCTTACTATATCTTGAATTATACTAGCACGGGTCTCTCACTGGCAATAAATACCATTTCCACATCTTATGTCGCGTGGACTTTATGGTAAGTACCTATTCTCTCACTGCGACTTCCTTTCTTCGGTTATTGATTGACTGCTGAATGAGTACAGGACATATCTGAGTGCACTTCCAAGTAGCCTCCGATCTCTCTTCACTTCGTGGCGAATTTTGTGGCTTCTTGTGGATTCTGGGCTCATATACATGCTGCTACAAGTGTGCAATTTTCCTGTTGCATTAGATCCAAGCCATCAGCTAAACCATCGCAGGTAACAGCCATTGTGGTTGCGCGTGCCGTTCCTGGTGACATAATAGGAAGTAATGTTTTCACTGTAATTACCGACACATACTACTTTATCTCTGTGAGTGATTTTTGTTTGAGAGCATCACTGCCCGCTGATGTCAGGCTTTCAGCTAGCATACCCATCAATAACCATCTTCCTTATATATGGTCCTTTTTCGATCCGTGGAGTCCATGAGACAGTGGCATCCTTCAAGAATATCAACGATTCCGAAGTGGCCCAGCCAGGCCATAGTCCGAGTTAGAGAACCGTCTTTCTCAGGTTGGTACATTTTCGAAAAGAAAACAATTGCTCTAACTACAGTTAACTGTGCAGCGTCTTCGAGTCCGACGATGAAAATCTCAACGTGCTCGATCTCGGGACTCAAGGTCACTTGTATCTAGATTGTCTATTGAATTTCATACAACTGTTATCTTGATTTCAAGATCCGAATGGAAAGCGAATCAATTTAGAGTGGTGAGAGGACGCGTCCTTATGATCGATCAAATTGAAATGGCACAATGAGTATTGGGCTGATTCAAGGAAGTGGAATGAGGCCTACCTTGAGATGCACAAGAAGAAGAGCTCGTATGGATGGGTCAACAAAAATAGCTGCAGTTTGTGACTGCTTCCTGTACAGGCATCGCCCAAAGTGTTGTGGAGCGAAGTTAGAGAGGCGTCATCCAATCAAAATGCCTGTAAAAAGTAATCTGATACCGAACAAACGTGTCCCTATATCGATATCTAAACATGCAGCAAATTGTAGATCGATCACGAAACATCAGCGATACTCATACAACCACCAAAGATCCATATGCATACACAGAATAAAGATACCTTCCCCCCTCCTACCCTCCCTTGCCTCTTGCTCTCTGCTACTTCTAAACTACCTCCCAGGCGTCGTCCCCCTCCTCGGTGTCCCCGGCATCTTCCTAGGCGTCAACCCAACCCCACCGGTTCCCATCGGCACCTCCGTGATCCTCCTCTCACTCGGATCTCCCACCCTCTGTACCTCTCTCACTGCTCGTCTCACCGCATCACCCACCTGTGCCGGCGGCCGTGCTGCATCTACCCTCGCTAGCGCACGAAGTAAAGCTAGTGCCTCGTCTGCTTCTTCTCGGTCTTTGTTGACTCCTCTTCTTTCCATTCCTCCACCCGCACCGGTGCTCATATACCGCTCGAGAACGTTAGCTGGTGTTTCGCCGGTAGTCGATGAGGACGAGAACATGGGTAAAGATGGATGTCGCGCATCTAAAGCCCGCGCAAGCACTTCGAACCGCGCATCGAGCGCCATCTGCGCAACCTCTGTCGTCTGTCGTGCCTGGCTGGCCATAACATACAAATGATCCAACTTAAACTCCACATCTTTCATCCGCTGATTAAGAACCTTGTCCGCTTCCATCTCTGCTTCTGCTTCTGCCTGCTTCTGCTTCGTCGAGGTAGCCTCTATCTCCTCCTCCATCTCCACATCGATATTGTAGCCTTGCGAAAACGTAGGCAAGGGTCGAGAATCCGGATCTACGCCCTTCTGCATACTAGGTCCCGCCCCAGGGGACTGGTCTTGATCATGGTCGGGGCCAAGTGCTTTCCGCCGTGCGCGTGATCTCGCGAGCACTTTCCTCGCAAGCCTAAACCCAGTCTGAAAAGTTGGCGGCAGATCCTGTTCGCGCGGTTCAAGACTCGGCGCGCGTTGCTTTCCTTGCGCTTTGGCGGAGGGTGTAGCTGTGCTTGGTTCTGTGCCTGTTGATGGGCTGGTGCTGGGGATAGGAAGGCCTAGATCGACTCGTCGTTTTTCGATATTGGATCGGACACGACGAGCGTAGGCATCGTAAGCAGAGGAGACTTTTTTCCAGGCTTCTTCTTCTTTTTCCGCACTGTTGTGGTACAGGGATATGTGAAATCAGAACAGACTGAAGGTCGAGTGAGTTGATGATAGTCTAGCTTCACCTCTTGATGTGCCCAAGATACACCCCCTCCCACGTCCGATTTGTCACATTCTGCTTATTCTCCGCCAAATTTACATTCAGATTAACATCAGAATCCCCACTGAAAAGACTGAGATTCACACGGCGTTGAGCGAGCTTGCGCAGGATGTCTTCTTGCGTTGCTTTGAGTACCGCTTCGGCTTCTGCTGAAAGCTTTGGTAGGGGTGGGTCTGTAGGCGAGGATGAAGAGGATGAAGGGGAAGAGGAAGGGGGAGAAGCGGCCACACGGGCAGAACACCAGATGAGGAGTTGTCTGACTCGATCAGAGTCTGGGAGGTCTGAGTCAATGTGTTTATAAAACGACGTGTCCGCGACGGAGTTGTGTGGTTGTGCTGTAACGAATGGTATGAGAATCAAAAACACGAAAAAAAGCCAGGGCTCACTGATCACGCCAGTAGCCTCAAACGAACTGCTTATTCTTTTCCCCCTTCCACCTACTGAACTCTTGCGTCGACTCGACCCCGGCGCACTCTGACCGGGCCTCCGCGGGGGCGTAACAGGATCCACTACCATACCTGTATCCGTAGGGGTATCTGAGCCTCCAGAGGAAAAAGCAGCCATCGCCCCGGCGCGCAAGCGCTTATTTCTCTGAATCTGCGGCGTCTCATCCTCCTCTGCATGAAGAGGTGCGGACATGTCGATGATCGTTTCCGCTTCTCGATGCTTCCCATGCACGTTGCTCGTGGGCTTGGACACAGTTTGAGTAGGAAACCGATATTGTGGATTTGACCCCGAACCCGAACTCGGACCAGAGGCGTCGGGTGTTTGTGGAGCTCGTGAAAGCCGACGTAAGTTAGCCGCTTCACTATCCATGGCTCGTACGGCCGCGTCCAATGCGGGATCAGCGTCGGGGGTGTTGAACCGTGTTCCTGTAGCAGATTGTGAACGTAGGAGAGATAAGGAGGAGGGTTTGAAAGTAGATGGTTGGGATTGTGAAGGTTGAGAAGACTTGAACTTCTTTGTGGGGGGTTTTGTGATCGGTGCAGGTGCGGGCAAGGATGAGGAGGGAGGAATTTGTGTGCGGACGATAAATAGGCCGCCAGGAGCTTCTTCAGCATTTGCAACTGGGTTGTGGGGTCAGTCGGCGTATAACTATAAGTATTAGAAGTGATTGAAACATACGTTTCCTCTTCAACGCGCCAGTTTTTGACTGATAAGCGAATAGTATATCTTATTATCCCAAGGAAGCAGGGATCGAGACTCACCTCACGTTTAGCCTTTTTAGAGGCATTTACCAACGGATTGCTCGTCGCAGTCATACTGCCCGTGCTCATGGCTTCGTTTGTCTCCGCGTTTGCTTCGTCGTCAGAGGCCTTGCGTTTATTCGTCGCGTTGTTAAGCAGCATAAGAGGTAATTCAACCTTTCTGCACTACACCACAACTCGAAGCGTTCAGGAGAGAACGAAGGCGCGTCGGTCGCTGTCCGACCTGATGGTGGGTGCCGGTCAACAGGCGGAGTTTGAATACAAGAGGAGGTGTTCCCACGTACTCTGCAGTTTGCGATCAACAATATACATTTTAGCCTCGAAATGTGGATTTGGAGGCGCACTGCAATAAGTCTTACGTGGCGCTCAAATTCTCTTTATAATGGTCTGGCTCAATTTTTAATGTCAAATGCAATTGCACGACCCCGGCTACGAGTTTTGGAGATAAAATTACATAATGAACAAAAACGCGTGTACACGTGACTAATCAGATATTGGAATTTCGCGTGGTAGAGATGTCCCGTTGTCTCTCTGTGATACTCAAGTATATCATACTGGTACTCCGTGCGTTTGTTTTCATCAAACCAAATGATTTACCTTCAGCTTTGCCAAATGGACATAGGACTCTTGGTTTTTACAGATGACGACATTGATTCACCGTTGAACGTTGATTAACGTTGATTGTTCATCGCGTGATCGTTCACCTCAACCTTTCTGCCCTTCCAAGCAATGACACACTTACTGCAATGACTCAAATGTGGCCTTGTAGTCTAGAGGTACGATACTTGCTTTGGGATTCAAGTTGCAAGTGGCCTGGGTTCGAATCCCAGCAAGGCCCATACCATCAGTGCGCTCATCACTGTTGAATCAAAATATGAAGGTTTTTGTTGCTGTGATTATGTGGCTACTGATGTGCAAGGACGGTGTCGTACTATGATCAACAATGTTAATTGGGTCGAAAAAGATATCGATGTGATACAAAGGGTGCAATATATCAAAATTTGGTGAATATCATGTTTTTCAACTTCTCTTATGCCGACCACCCCACCTCTGCTGCCTTGCGAGTTTTTATAATTGACCAGATACGTCTCTATACGTCTATCAGACTCCAGGATTTGTTACAAACGGTGTTTGGGCTACCTTTTAACCTCGAGGCTAGATCAGAGTGAACCGACACCATTCGCACAACCAACAGTCCTTTCACGATGTTGCTAAACGCGATTTCACTTGACATTTAAAATATTATCTAAAGAACCTACAAAATGCCAAAGCTACTCTGTAGATTTAAGCCAACACTCAATCTTTTGACTGAGATCTGGGTCAGTGCCTCTTGGAGAGTCCGTCTTCATGGTTCTTTGAAGACGGGCTTGACGCCTGGCTTTCTTTGCGTTGTACATCCAGGAGGCAAACACCAGGTCTCGTACATCAATGTTCTCTCTGATATGGCTTTCCCCAGTGGCCCGTTGTGTTTCCTCCACATGAACAGCCGATACACCACCACTACCCTTACGACGAATAACCGGGATACTACGACTTCTATCACCGCCATCATCAGCATTGTTATTGATGTCGTCTTCGTCCTCATTGTCACTGTTAAAATCGTCATAGAAAATATCTTTCGTCGCTTGCCAGATATAGTCTTTGGATTCTGACAATCGCCACTTCTGAAGAACGGCGCAGCCATACGTATAATCGAAAAGCACACTGGGAGGAGAGTCATGAGAAGGCGGAAACCGAGCATCTGAGTTGTGATGAACGTGTAAGGACCCGACGTGGGCCTCATAGTCATCCAAAAAATATTGGAGAGTGATTCGACTCTTTGCAGGTGTGGAGTTGGCATTGTTGACTGGTAATCCGACATCACTAGTATCCATAGCAAAATTGGGTGTCTGGGAAAACGTCAAAAGATGACTAGTGGCTGCTGGCATGACAAACCCTCAAGAAAGCTAGTCCAGAGTATCCAAACTGACGATGCACAAGTGCACAAGACTGTTAAGTAACATGCCGTTCCGAACATCGTTGATGTCATCAATTGGGGGTTGAACATCTGGATGACGGTGGTGGCGGAGTCTTTCCATGTACTTGTTCAAAGTGAAGATTCCTTTATGATACGGGAGACAATTGGACATACCTTGCTGCCTTTGCTGTAAGGAATGATATGACAAGCATCGCAATATCTTGTAAGAGTACCTGACACGACGCAATGTCCGTCACGGGCCACTACCCTTTGCGTGAAACCTGAGCGCGCGTTGGAAAGAGTTGACGTGTTGGAAAGAGATGATCCAGAGTTGGATGTTCGGTCGTCCATTCCACGAGGATCAAGCCACAAGGGCTCGCCTAGAATCGATGGTAAACAGGGAATCTTGTAAAGTTAATTAAGCTCTTACTCGCCATCAGCAATATAATAGTAGTCCGCGCTTTGAAAAGGAGCATGGTAGTCTTGCACCTCATCTCCTCCAGCTGACGTCGAAATATGGCCTTCTTGACCATATATTGTGTAGGCAATAAAGCGAAGCCACTTGAGCGGGTGGGTGGAGAAGCGTTGACACACCAAAGGAAATAGATAGAACAGGGCGATATAAGTCATTGTACAACATATATAGTACAGCATTTTCTGCCATGGTAAGGAAACAGTATATGCAGGAGTCGTCCACAAAGAGTGAACCAGCCGGTTGCGGTTGAGACAGTGGAGAGTCACGCTTTGTCACACACAAGGACTTGTGCTTCAGAAATCTGTAAGTTCCGAGTATTGAAAAAATCCTCCTCTTTGATTAATGATTAATCATAAGATATGGGCGCCAATCAATTCGGGCAGAATGTATTACGTTATGATAGATACCTTCGTCAAGGGAGCGGATTCGAGGTGGATTTGGGGGTGGATTTGGACCTGGAGTTGAGCTAAAGCCGACTCCAAATCAGCTTCAAATCCGCGTTCGACTTTCTAAACCAGTCTTCGGCGGCTCGGCGGTTCAGACGAAGTTTGAACTTTTGATATGACGAAGCAATCAAATGATAAGGCTGTCGAGATTTTCTTACAGACAAATGTTGAAAAGATTTGCTGAAGGAGTCGAAATGCACATTTGGCACAGACTTAGAATGGATCTGTTTTAGTTTGTGCCACATTGCTGCTGAATCATTGCAAATATCATCAACATGGGTCTTGTTCCCCTTGTCAAGCCATTGGTAGATTTCCCCTGTGGCTCTGTTGCTGCAGAGCTGATAGGACTGTTGCCTGGGCCAATATTGCATCTTTTCAGTCCTTGGGTTCTGTTTCTTGTTCAGAGACAATTCACAATCCACCAACAGACATGAGTCATCCATGCATTGCCTTTTCCCACTCTGCATATTTAATTATGCCAAGCTTTGACATCAGCAATCAAGAGGTAGCTTCATCCATGCAAGGCAGACAGGCCAGGGTTGATTAACATTAAGGTCATGGGAGTGGAGAAGTCTAGGATGAGCACAGGTGATGCTTCTACATAGAATGGAGCAATGATTATCTGATCTTGAATGTAAGTCTGTGGGCCAGGGCCCGTAACCTGTTGCAACTGATGATGCACAGGGAGAATAAACTTATGTTCAAAGAGATTCAAGCCTGAGCAATCAGACTAGCATTTTGTATTTAGCAGATGAATTAATTAAGAATAGTGTGATTACACATACCTGGTGTTTTGTATTCAGCAGATGAAGAATACAAAATGCCAGCAGCTGAAAATAATCTAGTGTCACATGAATAGCTGTATGGGTCAATACCTAAGTTGTGTAGTAGTCCTGGCACTTATAGCCTCAACACACCAGGCCCATGGGAACAGTTCCAGGAGATGTAGTCCCACCAAGCTATGCTGTGGCAATGCAACAGTTGCCAATCTAGGGACACCATGTACTCCTGCAGCACAGTGGATTGGGAAGAAGACATGGGGAACCTAACACTTGGATTGCACTGGGGCACAAGGAGAGAATACAGAAAAGGAAAGAGGATAAATAAGGAAATATATGGACTGGCAGTCTAGTGAAGTTGTAGTCTAACAAAGGTCCAGCAGCCACTCTCAGAGTCCACCATCAAATTTGGATTTTTCTGATGCTACATTTCCTTATTTACTATGTCTACTTGCAACCTGTTAATGTAAGACAAATTTGCCTACCTTCACAAACATAGCCCGTGGGAATGGGCCACACCAAAGGAGCTATGGTCTCCTCCCACCTTGAACTCCCTTGTGTGTACTGCAATTGCATGTGTGCAGGGTACACTGTAAAACTCTCCTCTCTGATTTATTCAACTTCAACTTAAGTGCTATCAAGTCTATTCCCATCATACATTTAGTCTCCTCACCAAAAGTACTTGAGTGTTGATGTTTTCCATTTTTATTCAAGGTCTGCTGAAGCCTTGCCTTATGTCAGACCCCACAGTATGTACATGGTATGGTTTACAGACACTCCTAAGCTACTCCGACCTGAGACCTTTGCCAGTCTGCCAGTCATGCCATAGCCACTTGATTACAGTTTGATGCCATCGGAGTTCATACTAGCCCCCACTTCTTACTCCAGTACTATCTGACGTTAACGTGCCATCCCTAATAATACCAGTCTTCGCACTCCGCATGGCTTACCGGGTCACCCACCTGGCAGGTCACAACTCCCCTCCTTAATCCCAGACCCTACGCTTCGTTCAGCACGGTGCACCCCCCCCCCCCCTTGGCATCGTAGCGTCAGTTACTTGAGTGCATTTCTATATCCCTGCCACACTCTCTTTCAGATCCACGATGTCCGCCTTATGCCATCATTTCTCGGATATGTCTAATACCGCATTGAAATAAAGACCTGTGAGAAGCATGTCGAAGCGCGCTTAATCGTAAACACGGTTGAGCCATTATTAGTGTCTATATCTTGAAAGGATAATCAAAGCACTGAGAGAAAAAGAGAAAGTATCACTGCCGTCCATCCACGAAATCCATCGCAGAGTCCAACTTTTTCACGATACGATTAACAAAAACGCCCCGCTTCTTCTTCTTCTGAAGATTGCTGGCATCTTTGGTGGAATCGGGGATCGTAGATTCATCTATCGTAATCTCCTCGTTGAGATTAGAACCTGACTTGACTCGGCGCATGAGAGAGCTGTCCGTTTCAACCTTGGGGGTAGTCCGCACTACACCAATGGTAGGCTGCGGCACCAGCTGATGCGTGCTCGTCGTGGCAAGAGACAGCTTCGGACGGTGTGATTTCCGCACCTCTTTCGCCTCCCTTTCAAACTCCTTCGCACGCTCTTTTTCTTTCGCTCTATCTTCCTTTTCCTTCGCCTTTTCCTCCTTACGTCTTTCTTTCTCACGAAAACGCTCTGCTTCTTTTCCTGCGTCTCTTCGAAGGAGGCTTCCGCGAGTAAGCACGCTCGCCGATCGACTTAGAGACCCTCCAGGGTTTGTGAGCCCCGCAGAACTTGCTCGACGAGATAACGCAGACGCAGACGAAGGCTCCGATGGCGATCGAGAAGATGAAGCAGCATTTGAAGGCGCTTCTTCGGCAGGGAACGAGGAGGAGAAGCTCGGTGAATAAGGAGGCGAGTGCGGCATAGATGGGAAAACAAATTTCGAGCCAACAGGAGAACGAATGACTGAAGACCGTGTTGGGATGACAGGGCCTGGAAGAAGTGGGAACATCTGTTCAGACGTCAGGATTGGCATGCTAGGTCGACGTAAATTCTGTTCTGCTGCGTGAGCGTCGGATCGTATGGAAGCGTACATGGATGTGGAGTGGGAGAGGGTGGAGCCAACTGGTAAGATGTGTTGACGGACACCAAGCGGTGACGGCGATAAAGAAGAACCACGGCTGGTTTGTGGATTGTGA